AAAAAAAGAAATGTCAAAATAAAAGCAATTCTATCCTGGCGATAACATCCTAGATGTACGGTACACTCATTCATTCTTTTCTCTTCTCAGTATTTCCATTATTAAGAGATTGGCAAGGTAAAACGAATGACACAACAAATGACGTGGTGGAAACCATTTTGAAGACGTTTTTTCCCAATTTCATCTGTTCATACGCGACCTAATCTTCATGATCACACTTCCTGTCCTTCTTCACATATTAGGTTGAGTAAAGTCTTACTAAAAATAATTTGAAAATAATAATACACCTCCGATTTGTTCTGGTTTTCCGATGCTCATCATTTCAGTCTGGTGACTAACTACTGGTGGCGTACTGATTTCTATCGAAGCTTGATCAAATTCATCTTCCTGTTCCAGCGAAACTTCTTCCGTTATCTCCATATCCTCGTTTCCACTTATGATTTTCTCGTCGATTATAGGATCTGCACGAATCAGTTCAGGATTCGTAGTTATCACTACTTCATCGACATTAATCTCTTCGGAATGCGTAGTAGTGATGGTAAATACACCACTATCTTCCGGATTGCTCTTCACTTCAAACATTTCTCGTTGCTCACCACGATAAGCATTCTGACTCTTCATCTCAAACATTTCTCGCTGCTCATCAGGGTAAGCATCCGGACTCTTCATTTCAAACATTTCTCGCTGCTCACCACGGTAAGCATCCCGGCTCTTCATTTCAAACATTTCTCGATGCTCATCACGGAAAGCATTCTGAAGTGCGTTACCCAAGACAACAATGGAATTATCCTGTTCTTCGTAACCTCTGACGTCTGGAATAGCGTAAGCCTCATGAGCCAAAGGTTGGACAGTGGATACTTCGCTCGCATTCACCAAATTTCCCAGTTGTGCCTGTTGCTGGAAGTATGTTTCCACGACGACCTCATTAGCGACATCCATATTATCCTGAAAATCAAAGTAATGGAATATGTCAACTACCTAATTTTGCTAGGTATTATATGCAAAAAATAATGAAACAATTTTTAGTGGAACCGAAACCAGCAAAACGGTTGTCAAAATGGTAATACCGGATAAGGTACATCGGAAGTATCGAATTCAACCGCCACTTCCGGAATATCATTACCGAACTTTTGCTCTGCCATTTGATGATTTCTGCTTGCCTGGGCAATTATTTCGAAATACCAAAAATGCAGAATGATTAAACAGCTGTGTAGAAATTTTCAAGAAAAATTTCCGCACGTAAATTTCTAAGCTTTACGAGATCTATTTCTAGTAACAACCAACCCATCTTATACCTAATCCTACCTTATGCAGCTCTATTCATCCTAAGGCTTATCAGCTCCATGAAGACCTCGTTCTATCGAACGTCATCTAGACTTACTTACCATATACTTAAAGTCTTCTAGTCTTATTGGATCCCATCGAAACCTTAGACAAGATATTTAATTATACAAAACAAATTTTGCAACCATCAGTATGATATTCTCAAACAAAATAATCGTAAAGCTTTAAGGTTTCACGCATTTTCTTTTTTTAAATAGTAGCAAGAATTAGGCATGTGACCGGAAAGTGCAACTCTATAACCGGAACATGTAATCGGGACGACTGATATTCTAAATGATAGTATAAAAGATGACAGTAGCATGTTTATTCAGGAAATTTCCAACTTCACAACTCTGTCCGTCTAGCACTTATAAACATTAGCAACAACATATGGAACAAAACTATGTTTCGCTCAAATAGCATCCGGACAGACCGGAAAAAACCGGAGCTTTTTTCAACGAAAAAATCCATCCATTCGGAAATCAAGAAAAGCCACCTATCTCTCAGCTTTAAAATGATACAATGGTAGCTAACACCCGAAAGTGTTATCGTTCGCGCCAAAACATTCAACTACCGTATATTTTGCAAAAATGCACGTAGCTAACTGTCTGGGATGCAAAAACGCACGTAACTATCGGTTTAAAGAGCTATCGGTTTACTAACAGAAAATGTTCTCAAATCATTAACAAAGGCGCAAATAAATGGTGAAATTGTGAATAATAGTATATAACATAACTGGATTCCGGGAAATATAACCGTATATGTATCATTCCGGAAAACAGATTATTCGTGTTTAAAATGTTCAATATGAATTAATGCTTTCTTAGCTTCTCTCAAATTTGCAATTAACATGTCATTCTTAGTGACTTGTGTAATTATTGATTGATTTTTGTCTACAGAAATATGCAAAAATCCATTATCGTCGTATTTAGCTATCTATTACCGGTTCCATGTTTAGCTATCCATTACCAGTTTCATATTCAGCTATCGATTAACCGGTTCTTTCTGCAATTGTCAATTACCGGTTTCATGAGTAACTATTCATCTCGTGTATAACTATCTGTTCCAGATTCCATATTCAGCTGCACATTACCGGTTCCGTAAACAACTATCCAAAACCAGTTCGGTATGTAATTATTTGAAATTTAGTTCTGTTGACCGAAATTTACAACTTAGTAAAATGAGTTTTGGAAATGAAGAACAGGAAGAAATGTTTGAATTTAAACTACTTATTTAAGTTATCAGTAAAAATACCGTACGTTCCAGAAATTGCTGGAAACATGAAAATGGAAAACATGTCAACAGTGGCTTTTTTTGATCTTAAAAGAAAACGACGAGAAATGTGATGAATCGAGCAACATGGTTAATTTGAATTTATTTCATGAATTCAAATTTAGCTTCACTTAATCATTTTGATACATTTAATGGATTTTAATTGGGACATTTAATTGAATAGCGAATAGCAATGATAATATCATAATTTAACAGAATTTCAGAACCAAATGATTCAAATCTGATTATACGATAAAGAAATTCCTTTTGTTTCTTATAAAATTAACACAAAGATTGAAAGAGTAATTAGTAGTTAGGTGACATATCAGTAGAAATACTTTTTTCTCTTGATCATTTTGCAGAATCCGAAATGTCGGTGATCCAATTTTGGAACAGTAAGCAAATTATATTTCCGATATTCTTAAGATATTTAGAATCACAGATTTACAAGATAATACAGCTGTTGATTATCCAGAAGTCAACAGATGTGACATTAATAGATGAGGTGACAGATGTGGTATAGTGTGACATGTCTCTATTTCCTGAACTCTTGTCATTAATTGATACATGCAGTTGTATTGCTCGAGAATGTTGAAGTGTAGGTGAGATGATAAGATGATTAATCAGTCAATGTCTATCCCTCAGGGTATTTGCCGGGAATTGTTGAAGTTGGCTTGGAAAAACACTGATTTCAAAGTCCCGAAATCTTCATACTTCAATTATTGAAACGTATTACAAGTAAGCTATTCCTTCCCGTGACTTTTATGAGAGATATATAAGCATCCCTGAACATTCGAGAATCTGTTACTCCAAAAATTGAGAATCTTTTACAACAGTTATGTTAGAATATGCATTACTTTTAGCAGAAATGTAAAATAACTGCAGCGGGAAATATATGCAAGTTAGATTTTTGTAAATGAATTCCCAATTCACCCATAACAAATTTGTTCAAAAAAACTTATTTCATGCTTACAGTTACTTAGCATACATGCTTTATTTTCCAAAACGGTGCATGAAATCTGATACAATCAATTTGGCAAAGCAACTCACCAATCATTTCAGTGAATGTCAAGAAAAAAAGGTAGTAAAGTGATGATTTGGTATAACCCAAATCTAAAATCTGAAATTTTCAAAATATTTCGAAACAAAACTAAAAATCGTAAAATTTTACATATAAGTCCATTTGAGGAGAGAAGGAAAGTCAAAACAAGTGACAAGTCAAAACATTTCTACATCCGAAATTTGATTTGAATGAAAAGTTTTTCCATTATAAAAACATTTGTGCACAATGTATTATTAAAGAAAATTGAAGGACTTTCTCTAATGATGGTCTGAGAGTGATCCCTTCATGGAATGTGACATTAAGGATAAAACTTTATATGTGTTAATCAAATTTTCACAGCCTCGTATCTCATAGCAAATGATGGAGTATGCGACGTATGGCAGGTAAGTGCTATTGAAACTGGTTCATCCAAGATAGATGTATACAGCACACAGAAAGATAACATAAAATCTAGTATGAAGACTAATCCGTAAAAACTAATCATAAAGTAAAGACACCAAGTAAATCTAAGGCACCATTAAAAAAGCTGAATAATCTCGAAATTCATTTCATCTTCTCTTCCAAAACTTGCGCAACAGTCCTGAAATGAGAGTTAGAAGACTACGTATATCATTGATCTTATCTTGGAAACACTCCCAACGGAAATAACTAATGGGAAAACAACTATCAATTAATTATGGTACCAGTTATTTCGAAAGTAAGTTAAACTTCTTTTAAAACAAATAGGTATTGTGGGAATCTACAAAACACCATGAAGAAAAGATGGTCTATAAATGTATGGCTTTGAAAATAAAATTTATGAAGCAAAATAACTTACTTCCGTCCAACACGTAACCGAGTTTTTTTTGGCGCTTCTAAAAAACGAAAAAGAAATATAAACAAAAAAATAAAAAAAAATTAGTGAAAATTTAGTGTCAGAACTACAAATCCCATCTATAGGTTAGATTGAAATGTTGACAAGCTGGATCACTTTACTGTTGGATAAGAGTAATGTATAAGTGTGACATTCCAATTTACCAATAACTTGAATGAATTTGTCACCAGTAACTTACCTACTTGCTATTCAAATTTATTGCTTCAATTACGTAAAATAAATCAAACTGAGAGATTATTACTGCATGAAACAAACCGTCAATTTTCTCTAAAGTTGGTTCAAATCCTGAGACAGTTCGTTGCTTTGGAGGCGATCCATTTTCGCTTTTTGCTGGAAAAGCAAGATCTGAACCACTTCAGACTTAATTGTCATTTTGAGGAATAATTTGAGCAATTAAAAATAATATCCTTTTGAAGTAATTAGACCAAAAATGAAAATTATCCTTAAGAGATTCCTAGCTGCATTACCATTCTTACCTTTTCTAGTCGGACGAGTCAACACAGGATAAGATTTAATCGAAATTTCGCTCACTGAAAAGAAAAAAATGAAAAGAAAAATGATTGAATCAACCAATATCGCCATTATTCGCCTAAAAGCGATTCAAAATCTGTAGATGTTCTAAAATCTGGAGAAGTATGTAATCTATATAAGAAAAGCAATAATACATTGGGACTCTTCTGATGCAGCTCGTCTCCGTCGATTTGGTGAGGCTTTTGAAATTACACCTGGAATTGTCTCTTCAACTGAAAGCCAACGAAAAGAAATTTTTTTACACGGCAAATCAAACAAATAAGAAATAACAATTCATTACCAGTAATTTATCTATTTGCTATTCAGATTTATTGCGCCAGTTACGTAAAATAAATCAAATTAAATAAACAGCAATTATTCCGCACTTCGTAATATTGCTCGACTAAAAAACTCATTGTCGATGTTTGCTAATAAATTCATTTCTTATTTGACTAGCTCCGTAAAGCTATACATAATGATAACCTCCAGTTTGTTCTGATTGTGTTCGGGTGCGGCAAACCGATTTCCTTGTCGGAGAGTCTGAAAAAAAAAGAAAGGGAATATATTCTAGAATTTATTCAGTAATTTAAGTCAGATAGTCGAAAGTGATATGCAGTTATAACTGAAAGTGCAATGATGTCATTAACCAATTAAGTGTCGCATTTTATACTTCCTAAGCTATTGATGTTGTCATCATAAAGATATATGTCATGGTGAGAATGTTTCTAAACATTTTTTTTTTCTAAACATACATGGTACTTCATTACTTCATAACTTACTTTTAACTGACGCAGTAGGTCGAACTGATTGCTCCGGTGTTACTTCACGGCTGTATGCTAAGCTTGTTCCACTTTCCAAACGTTGTCTTTGGATTCCTTCAATCTTGGGTGAACTTTTAGATAAAGATGTAGCTCGAGTTAAACGCTTCGGTGTTGTTTCTCGACTGCATGATGAACTTGTTCTACTTCCCAAACGTTTTCGTCGTGTTTTTCCAGTTATTGGTGAACTTCTGGCCGAAGATGTAACTCGAGTTGAACGTCTCGGTGTCGTTTCTCGGCTATGCGGTGAACTTGTTCTACTTCCCAAGCGTTTTTGTGGCGTTTTCTCAATTTTTGGTGAATTTTTGACTAAAGCTGCAATGCGAGTTGAACGTCTCGGGGTTGTTTCGCGACTATGCGGTGAACTTGTTCTACTTTCTGGAGGTTTTTGTCGCGTCTTCTCAATTTTTGGTGAATTTTTGACTAAAGCTGTAATTCGAGTTAAACGTCTCGGTGTTGTTTCTCGGCTACGGGATGAACTTGTTCCACTTTCCAAACGCTTCCTCGACTTCATCTTAACTTTCGGCGATAGCGATGCTAATTTCATTGCTGAAATGAAACTATTACTTTTTTTGAAATTATTATTTCGAAACTAGTGAATAATCTTGACAATCCGAAAAAAAATTCAAAAAAAGACCTTAATGAAAAAAAATCTTAATAATCTCAAAATTAAGAACTACTGACATAAAATGGTGACCCAAATAACAAGAGATTTCTGTTTATGAATTTTAAACACATCAATAAATGGAACAACTGTAATACCTTTAGCTGCAGAACGAGTAAGCATTCGATGCGATGAAGTCGATGTTTCGCTATCTGAAAAGGAAAAACTTCAATTCATTTTCCAAAAGCAGTCAAAATTTCAAGATTTCACGTTACAATACTTGGTTCAACACACGTAGTAAAATATTGTCTGATAAGTAATGATTAGTGATAATGATTTTCTAAACATACCAGAACTCGAGGACTGAAATGAGTCGCTCGAAAAGGTTCGAAATGCTTGCCTACCATTAGTAGGATCTAAAGAAAAATTCCATTAAATAAATGTAGGATACGTGATATTCATCTTTCAGGAATCTTTCCATCGATATTACCTATTGTTACAGCTTGTTTTGGGGAAGTTTTTAATTTCTAGCATATTTTTACAAAACTAGAAACGGTAACTCAAAGATAATGCTTACAGAAAAAAACTCTCTGACCGCGTTCCAAAAAAAAAACTGCTTTGACTGTGTGGTTCGAAAAAAAACAAAAAAAAAAAAAACATACCTTCTTTTTCCGATCTGTGTCTCCTACGAGAAGGATGCACTAATTTGGAAGATTCGACTTCGGCATCTGAAATAAGAAATTAAGAAATATGACCAAAATTACTGCCTTCTATGCTACTATTATGTATACCAAACGTTCCAAATATCTAATTAAAATCGCTGTATGAGTGCATTTTTTGTACTTTATCCAGAATCTCTAAAGTCCAATTTACTACGTCCTACAAAGCACAGCAGAAAGAATCACCTCTAACAGTCGATGAAGCTTGTTCTGATAGTATTTCCCGTACGCCTAAAACTGGTGAGTATCCCATCCTGTCTGTAAAACAATATGCGATGGATACATCAATAATAAAACGATTTCATGAATGTCCACATTTCATTTGCTAAAGCTCTTTTGCCTTACTTATTTCTTAAATCAGATATATTTAGTTCGTAAATAACTACGAAGTTAAATATGAACATATGTTGCTATGTTCGTTACTTTTTAAAATTTAACAGCAATTTAAAACTTGACAGAATTGCAAAGTATGGTGACGAAACGTTCCCGGACCTATCGCAGTTTTGAACTCTAGCACATTGTTAGATAAATACTTAAAATTGACGAAATTCGAAGTTCAATAGTTACCTTCCTCCTCTTCGAATTTTTTATTCATTTCGAGATGAAAAACCATAGCTTTTTCAATCTCCGTGGATGTTGGATCAGTTTCATCTTCTTGTTCGTATGAAACTTTTTTTTGCAACGATTCACTCACAGTCGACGCTATATCATCTTCCGATTCAGCTGCCATTTCATCACTTAAAGAACCTAACAGCTTTTTTGGTGGCCTCGGAGAGATTTTAACTTCAAAGGTAGCAGTGTGTCTGGTGATTTTGGTGGTAGTCAGTACAGAAGTACTTTCAGGAAGACAACCAGCATCTTGTAAATTTCGTTTCCCTTCCGTGTGCACATCGGAAACGATATCTTGAACATCTGCATCCAATGGAATGCCTGGATCTTCTTGTTCTTCGTAAGTCACGGACACTGGAGCTGTAAAACTTTCCCGAATTAAGAAATTTTCATTTTTCATAACCGATGGCTCAGTTTTATCATCCAGATCTTCTACTTCTTCTTGTTCTTCGTAACTCACAGATACTGGAGCTGTAAAACTTCCATGAATTAAGAGATTTTCATTTCTCATAACCGATGACTCAGTTTTATCGCATGGATCTTTTATTTTTCTTGTTCATCATAAGTTTCAGGCACTGGAGCTGTACAGTTTCTGCGAATTAAGGGATTTTCATTTCTCATAACCGATGGCTCAATTTATCGTCCAGATCTTCTATTTCTTCTTGTTCTTCGTAACTCATAGACACTGGAGCTGTAAGACTTTCCCGAATTAAGAGATTTTCATTTCTCATAACTGATGGTTCAGTTTTACCATGTGGATCTTTTATTTCTTGTTTTTCGAAATACCGTTCTATTTTTTCATTGCCTTCACCTCGTCTTTCCTGATCTTCCACCATATCCGAATCACTCTGCTCCTCAACCGATATATTGCATGGAGTTTCTTGATTTGCGGCATCCATAGATTCACTTTCCTCGTCTTTATCCAGCAAAATTTTTAGCCCATCCTGTAGCTCCAAATGTTTCTCCAAGAAAACTTCCTTGTTCATGTCCGTAAAGTGAAATGCGTCCTTTAAAAAAATGTAATTTTTAACCAATTGAGCAAAAACGACTTTTTCTATATTATTTCCTTAACTGAGCTTGTCACTGCAAGTAAGAAAAAAAATTTCTCCAATATTTTAAAATTTCTCCAGTATAGTGAAATGTGAACCAAAGCTTGTCCTTGTCTTGTTTGTGATGCCTAACAATATTATAAATCGGAAATTGATTTATCATATTATATTAATTGTTAAGCGTCACAAACTGGAACCAACATTTCACTTATTAAGAAAAACAAAGCTTTAACGGGATACCGGATTCCGAACATCCAAAAAATTGGCACAATTCATTTCGGGAGGATCACATTCACATTTTTTTTCTTCCACCTGACTGAAATTTGAAATAACGCTGAAAAGGGATGGTTCACCAATAAATGCCTTCTGCTCTTTTTCATCCACTAAACTTCTAATCTAATCCAAAATAAGGACTAAAAATAACATCATACCTATCACAATTAGATACGAATGAGTTTGAAAGATCGAAGCGAAGATTTTTAAACCGCGATTCTGTTACTGAAACTTGCAGAAATTAAGTTATCAACGAATCCTAAAAATGTCAAAAAAAAAGATTATGAAAAATGAAAAAATCATGGGAAAGATCAGAGTCTCCCAAAAATTTCATGCGCTCAAAAAGAATCCATTTTAAAACGTCAGCAATCAGAAAAATTCAATTTTATCGAAAGAAGAATACCATCAGATGATGCATTCTCCTCCTGTCGCCCCTTTCGGGTTTTCAAAATAGAGGCCGGTAGTGGGATTGGAGAGAACTGGTCAGCTGATAGTGATGCAAATGAATCCTCTGCTTGTATTCCAGGTGCATAGCGACGTCGTGGCGTGGGTGTTTGTAGCAAACGGTGAACATTTTCAAGATCCTCTTTGGGCAAAATTCTGAAGTTGAATTATTTCAAAAGCAAAAAAATTTGTTTTCGAAAAGCTGGTATAAACCTGAAAATTCCTACAAAGTTAAGTTAAATCTTTGGCAAAAATTTATGAAGTAACCTCTCGTAATTCGAAATACGTCTGTCGCACACAGGGCTTGTTGGGAAGTTAGATGCTTTTGGAGTTATTTCTAACCCAACTGACTCAGGAACAACATTATACAATTGCCGTGATGTCTCCAGTATTTCACACTTATGTGACCTTGAAAAAAGTATACACATATATATATTTCTTGCCAACCAACAAAGGAACCAAGGAAAAAGAACAGAAAATCCAAGCAGCTGGATGATTTGTTCAGTACAATATTTTTAAGAATCCAAGAAATCACAAATCGCATTTCATTCATTTCTAGCTTATCGGAAAGAAACAAATTTATGGATTTCTTAAGTAGTTCGCTCTTAAAATTTATAAAAATGAAGGAAGACAAATCTCAATAACAATTAGGAAATAATTCTGGATAGAAAAGTAACCTCATAATTGGTGATAGGTACGGATGCACAGCTGCTGCATGGTATCTGGATGGTGTATCTCTCATCATTTTTCCGCCACCATCTTAAAAAACTCCGCATTTTTTAAAAATTTCATTTACCCAACATTTAAATTTCGGATTAAAAGTTATTTTGTACCTGAATTTTGAACTGTCGGAAGAACACTACGTGAAAATGTATCATTCGTTTGAATTACTGGAAAGTCTTCCAGAATTTTTGCCGTCCATCGATCACAGCGATCTACTAGAACTCCATTTTTTGGTTTTTCTGGCTGAAAATTCATTTCGCCCTTCAGTGGAAAATTATTTCATTTGTTGATACAGTCGTTCCTTCGATCAAGAGATCTAATAACCAAGATACACAATTCAAAAAACCACAATTCAAAAAACCATTGAAGTACTTCAATTTTTAGAGTATATCTGCAATTAAAAATGATTAAAAAAGTATATCACAAAAACTTGCTGGCAAAAGACGACCGAACATTTTGCGCCTTAAGCAAAAACGATTCCATTCACGAATTCCGTCAGGCTTTTTCAATAAGTTCTCTGAAGAAGTTAATCAGTGCAATATACAGTCGCAAATGAACAGCATGAAATAAAAATCCAAGCTTCTGAATTTAAATAAATACTTTAAATTTCCATGCAAAAAATTATCAAAGATGTATATTCAGCCATTAATAATATAATATATTTGCTAAAGTAATATCTAAAACAGACTACCTTTTATAAATTCAATTTCCTCCTTGTCTAGAAGCAAACGTTTCATAAGTCGTTGAAGCTCACAAACGGGTTCTTCCGCTTTTTTGTCAGTAATCTTGATTTTTCCACATTTAGCAAGCGGTTCCTAAGCATTAAAATATCATTTCAGTTTTTACTTGCAAAGACAATGCTTTTTCTATAACAATCAGTCGAACATTTCATCGCGATTCCCAAGATATCTCATCACTGCGGATAAGTGATGGGGTACATATTCTGGAAGCTTTAGACTAGTAGAATGTTGCAAACATCAAATTCGTTTCTCGACAGGCCGGACAATTAAAATTTAATTTTTTTTGCGACAGACGTTCGATAGCCATTATTAATGTGCAATGCAATATCGGACGATGTTGTTCACGAAATTCGAAAATATGAAATCAAAAGCATGTGCAGCTTCGAAAAAACTGCTAGCAAAATTCACAATCTCTTGATGCCAAGCTGCTAAATTTAAAGCTTTTGTGATAGATGGGATGAGTTAAAAGCACTGCTAGTTATCGTCAAATGGACGGCAAACAGTGAATATACCAAAGGAATTATCACAAGAGTTCAAAAATTTAGCAGCTTGATACAACCCTCAAACATAACTGCGCACTGAAGTAGCTGTTAGCACTGAAATTTGTGAAGAACCGTTATAGCACAATTATAGTAATACCTTTAGTCCACAATCATTTCTCCAATTCGTTTCTATCTGATTACATATCACTCGATTCCTATACGGAAAACGCCATTTAAAACGATCAAAAACTTTCGGCTCCTAAAATTTCATCGAATTTTAATGTAACCTACTTACTTTATAAACAAATGTCTTGATTAAAATGTTTCTCTTTCGCAAGTTCTATCCAGACGTTCATTTAAGAAATGGAAACTCATAGCATTGGAGGATAACTGATATTTCTTTAGTGACTTCAAAAATAATTTGAATTCCATAAAACTACAAACGTTTTCCATAAGATCGTCATAATCAAGCAGGAAATATCCAATCAACTTATGTTTTGATGTTTCTGTGATCTTCATTGCAAGTGTAGCCGAAAGCAAGGCCTAAACATATTTGCAACTGAACTATAGGGAAGTTATTTTATTTAATTCTCATTAACAATTGTGACTGCCAGTTATCATTAAGCTTTGTTTGGCAATATTATTCTTTTCTGAGGTCAACAATGTCAATGTTTAGTTACTATAAAAATATGATAGGATGAACTATCATAGTAGTCTCAGGCAATCGAAGATACTACTGCTCACTGATCGAATACCACTTCACGATTTAAAATATCAGTGGACTTAATAATTGGCTGATTAAATAGATTGGTGTAAAATAGAGCATAATTAACTTCGTTTCCTAGAGAAGTTGATTGTTTACTACTGAAAGATGAGTTGTATTGGATATTGGGAGAGTCATCGTGTATACTTAAACTTCAAAAGTTGGCCAGATCATTAGAACTCACAGCAATTGAATTCGGTGGGTACCATTCGTCAGCAGTTAGACCACACCAAAAAATTTCATTAGGACAAGCATTTTGCATTTCTTCCAGCAAATTTACTATATACAACTTACTGCTGAAAGGAAAAATGACAGTGATAGCGGGGTGAGAGTATGAGATATCGGTGATGCGAAAATAAAGAAATAGATCTCCTTTTTAAATCAACCTATTGATTCATCAGTTTAGAGTCTCAATCAAATGCCTTTCCGCTGAGTATGACGATGCTTCGTCTACTGAACCGGAAGTTCACAACACAACTGGCATTTAAAGAGTGTCTGACGGCTAAATATTTGCACCGATCGATTTTTGTGGAAGGGAAAGGTGAAAAAAGACAGAAAATGAATATAAATTGTGAAAAAATCACTACT